CAGTCTCGACGTGCCTTTTTCTGTACATCCTTAGTTATAAAACTTCTGTTTAGCTAGCCATCAGATAGTTCTCCAGGTTCACTGTCCTATAATTTAGTAATTTTGACGTGGTCCTGTGAGGAGGGGCATGCAGCGTCCGCCTGCTCCTCCACCTTGACTGGCACCTACACACGTTATTAGTGTCTTCATGGAGACTCTCATGGCATTTTGAGTTAGTTTAAGAAAAGGCAAGAATGCTCGCTGTTTCCACCATGATTTAACACTACAATGGTGTTTGTTGTCACTTAATGTAACTGGATAAGAGACGTCACGAGTTACATCAATTCATAAAGAAGTAAAAGTATCTCTAGAGAATAGTAGCGACAAACCACATAGTGAAGTCAGTAAATTATCAGGATGTATTGTTAACATACAAAAATCAATATATTTTTAAATACAAACAGTAGATAGCTAGAGGTCAAAATGGTAAAATAAATCCCCTTTTATAATAGCAATAATGATGATTAAATACTTAGGAATAAACTTGACAAAAATGTGTAAAACCTATAAGAGAAAACTCTCTTACAAGACATAGAATTAGATTTAAACCAAAAAAAAAATGGCATCCCTATTCCTGGATAAGACAACTCCACATTATAAAAAATTTCAGTTTAACACAATCACATTAAAAATATAAACAAGTTTTTTTAATGCAACTATCAACTTGTCTGGTTGATATAAAGTTCATAGAAAAAAAAACAAACATACAGAAATAGTCAGGTACACACTAAGAACTAAAAAGTACAAAGGGGAGCTAGTCTTACCAGATATTAAAGCACACTATAAGTCCCCATAATTAAGGCAGGGCACTACTGCCATACGAATAAAATTATAGGCCAGTAGAACAGAAAAGAAAGTCCTGAGACAGATGAAAATAAGCATAGAAATAATAAAGCTGGCATCTTAAATCATGGAAGCAAACATAGGCTTTTTGATAAATGTTGCTGGCCCAACTGGGCAGCCACTTAGAAAAAAAATAAAACTAGATTCATATTTCACATCATATATAAGTATAAACTACATACTGATCTGAAAACTAAAGAAACAAATTATATAGATAGTAACTCAATAAATTTAACTAGAACAATATGATAAATTCCTCTGTAGATTCAATGCAGGAAAATGTTTTTTAATGCTGACTCAAAATCCAGGGCACTAAAAGAAACAATTCATAAATTTGAGTTCCTAACTCTTTAAGTGCATTGTAAAATAAAACCAAAGAAAAACTGCCTAATTAGAAGAAAAGATTTGCAACATATATCTCAGATAAAGAGCTAATATCCATAGCATATTAAGAACTCTTAAAATTCTAGGGAAAATCAGCTCTCAACCAACTGATACATAAATGGAAAGATACATGAACAGACAGTTCACCAAATTGATACAAAATGGTCTTACATGAAAATATGTTGACCCTCAGAATGATTTCCAGGATATATTGTTAAGTGAAGAAAGAAAGATACAAAAGAACACTATCTTTCACGCAAGAAAGAAAGCAAGTAAGAAAACAGGCAGGTATCTTCTCATTTTGCAAAGTGAAACACAAGAAGCACACACCAGAAATGAATGAGACGTTACCTCTAGGGGGTGAGTGAGACCAGAGTGGCAGCAGAAAGGCAGCAGACCTGGGGAGAAAAGGCTGGAAAGAGCGACTCTTCTCTGAGTGCACTTTTTAATAGCTCCGTCCTGATATTGTAGTCATTAAAACCAACAAAGGATAGGCTCACTTAATTTTTTTAAATCACAAAATTATTACTTGGCATGATGTCTGTTATTTCTTGGTTTTCAGATTCCTGATTTAACAGTTTATTTTTTAATTCAACAACTTTTCTGAGAATCTGTCATGTGCAGGGTTCTATGCTAAGTTTAATAAAGACTTTAAAATGGATGAAGATATTGTAATTAATCTGAAGAACCTTGTGCTCTAAACAGCGTCTTGTGTGGGAAAAAAAGACCAAAATATTTTGGATGTCCAGAAAGTTGGAAGAAATGCAAAAAAAAAAAACCCAATCCTCAAGGTAAAATCAGAAATTTTGTGCTATGAAGATAATTTGCTATAAGTATACTATTAATTTTAATTTCTTTATTATTTTATGTCATATTTTCTTCTAAAATAGCATAAGACAAGTTAAAATTAAAGGGATGGACATCTTAGAATCATTAAAAATTTAAAGTAATATATGCCATGTAAAGAATTGGAGAGAGAAATATGTGGGGAAAAAATAGGCAAATAAAAGCTAAAATTTAGGTGGGGAAAAAAATCTTATTTGTGAACTACCAGAAAAAAAGGCAAAGAAAAAGCACTGGTAAGTCACAGATGTCCTATTATATAATTTTATAAAGCAGATCATTTCATCAATCAAATGGGTGGCCAACCATCAAAGACCCTTAAGAATCTGTTTCTCTGACCTCTTGCTACACAAGAAACGGTGCGAGCCTCTAGTAGTAGGATTCTCTGCTCCTTACAGCTGACGGCATTTCCAGCTGATACACAGTCTTTGAACTGAACCAGATGTGATTGCTTCAAACACCTTAACAATGTAACTGTATTAACCTAAAGAATTCCATTAGTTAGACCTTCAAAGTGGGGGGAAATCAACCTGAAAATAATATACAAGCAAAGCAAACCAAAAGTAAATAAATAAAATGAGGTAAGCGGACAAACACCTTCCTGTGTTTGTACAAACTGGACACCTCGGAACTGCCCTCATATTCTGTGGATTTCACAGCTGACGGGGGGAAAGAAACAGGGATTGAGCAGCTGGATCCCAAAGACCTGACGGGCTTCAGGATTCCGACTGACTGTGGAGAGATGAGTTTAGAGGCCAAAGAAAGGCCAGCCACCTGCTTAAAACTTGGCTAAAACACAGGTCACGTATCCAGTGTCAGTGCTAAGGACAAAGGAAAACAGAGGTTTGAAGCCATAACTCTCCAGATTAGATTTTACTTGTAACAAAAGGTATTGAAATCCAAATTATTTTTATTATCTTCAATAATATCCCATTTTAGTCTGTGATTCTAGAGTTTCATTCTAGGAAATGAGACAACTTTCTTTTTAGTTCTCACACAAGGATATGCTTATTGATTTTTTTTTTAAAGGGAGAAAGGGAGAATGATGGAGAGAGGGGAGAGAGGGAGAGTGAACCATCTGTGTGAGAGAGAAACATCGACTGGTTGCCTCCCTAAACATTCAACTAGGGATCAAACCTGCAACCTAGGCATGTGCCGGACTGGGAATCAAACCTGCAACCTTCTGGTGTATGGGATGATGCACCAAGCTACTGAGCCACCCGGCCAGGGTGAGACGTTAGTTTTTTAATGATGTTAAAATCCTGGCTCTTATTTTTGTATTTTATCATTTTAATTTTAATCTAAATATGTTAAGATGATAACAAAATAGCTAGTGATTATTTTAAATTTATGGAAAATGGTAAAAATGAGCCTAAGCAGAAGGTTGCTGTGTCTAATTGCTAATTATATATGTTCTTAGATTTTAAAATATATCAGTAATAGAATGAGAAAGTTTAAATCTAACAAAAATAATAAATTTAAAGAGAAATATGAATGGATAATAATAGACCAGAAGAAATAGCAATACTATCTTTGCTCTGTTAATACAAAGATTTTTATTTTAAATAAACAGAAATTAGGAAAACCTATACCAAATCTACAGCAACATATCCATGTCTGAATAACCAGTTCATGAGGCTAATTATTCCTGAGATGGATACAGATGACGCGTCTATTAGAGGGCCTCACGCAGGGCGATCGAGGAGAGAAAGGCCACTATTTCTGCCTGTGCAAGACTCAGAATAGGTTGGTATCATCCATGATTAAAAATGTATAGCAAAGGTTATAGGGTACCTAGGCAACCAGTTTGTATTTCATGAAAGCACAGACATCAGCCATAGAAAACACCTATTGGCCTTCTAGTCTAGTAATCTCCTAGGCAAAGCTGCCACTCCGATGGCTTCTTTTCTGAAGAATTGTGAAGACTTGAGTTCTTACTCATTTCACATCAGGTTTTCTGTCCTTTCCACGTAGCTGGAAGCAAATGTGATTCTACGAAGTTTAAGTTCCTAACCTCTAGGTCACATCTTTCCTTCCTATCATTCAATTTCAGACAATCATCAACTATTTTTCTCTCTTCTTGGTGTTTACATCATCTTTGACCTTGTGTATAATGTTATACTGTAAAATAGGGCGTCCACCAACCCAGGAAATTCATGTCCACATAATTCAGTTTAAACTGAAAGAGTAAGCCGAAACACTTCTAAAACAGGAAATCAATAGCTAATAGTCAGTACTTGTCGACATGTATTTTATATTCATTTCTGAGTTATCTAATTTTGACAACTGACTAGAAACAGTGAACTATATGATCTGATGTTTTGAAAAAATAGACTAGAGCAGATCTGGCAAAGCACACACGCCTGGCGCTGAAAGGGGCAAAGACTGGTGCAGACAGACGGATGCACCAGCACCCACACCAGCAAGTCCATGGCACCAGCTAAACACCGTTTACTATTGATGTGGGCAGAATCGTCATCAACTGTGAAAACTGGGAAGGATCCTAGAAACAGCCATGTCTCCTTCCCATTATAACAATTCTCCTACAGCATTATCGCTGGGTGATGACTGCATCACCATGTGAACACGAGGCCTTCCTCACTGCCTCATAAGGAAGTCCAATCCATTGTGTGAAACACTTCCGAGAAAGCTTGTTCTTAAAAATCAAAAACTGCTTCTTTGTAACTTCTGTTTATTAATTCCAACTCATTTACTCAACCAGCACTTAGAGAGTAACTATTTTATGTAGCAGACCGTATTGTCATAACAACACACGCCCCCCAATCCTTCTAGACAGACACACCCATGAACATGAATAAAAATAAAACGCCAATTGCCTTTCCTTTGCTGCCATCTCAGTTTCTTCACCCCCACATCTCAGTACTGCTTACCTGAATCACACCACCCAAGAAGGAAACAGCTGCAGCAACACCGATCCTTTGCATCTCAAAGTCAGATAAGCCCAGCATGCTTGTGTTACTCTGTGCAGTTAGGTTCTGGCTACTCGGAGGGACAAGACGCTCCACTGCATTGGCTGATATTAAGGATGTCAAGGCAAAAGTGCCTAAAAGGAGGAATGGGGTGAGGAATCTCCTATTAGTAACAGACTCAATGAAAACTGTTGAAATCCACCATTAAAGTTGAATCTACATTGTAGACCCAAGCAGATCTATTAGAAACACTCTCCTCTACACTCCCACTCCTCTACTTTTTGTTCCACTCCATGGAACAAACAGAAAATTACCTACATATACACATTCCTTCAACTTATAGCCACACCCACTATTTGCTATTCCCTCCCAGGCCATACATGTGCCCACTTCTCTGCAAACCTGCATAAGAATGTCCTCTGGGCAGGGATTAAGATCATGGACTGGGTATAAATCCAGCATATCACCTTGAGTCAAAATTGCCTCATTTGTAAAATGAGAGTCAGATATCTACATTTCAGAGTTTTGGGAAATATATAAATAAGATTATAAGCATAAAAACCTCAGTAGGCTCAGTGGTGAAATATGAGTTCTTTGCATGAATCTGAAGCTCTTTGCCTGATATGCTTGCTCTTCCATCTCCCTATACATACTCTATTGTCTTCCAAGGTCTGGTTTCAATCCCATATTCATAAGGATTCATCCCAGATTCTGCAAGCCAGGTTTAATCTTTCTACTCTCTGTACTTTCATAGCAGATTAGACCCTTATTAGAGTGGACCTTTAATATAGTGTAACAACATGTTGTAGCCCATAAAATGATTACCGTATTTTGCCATGTATAAGTCACAGTTTTGCCCAAATTTTTGAGGGAAAAATAAGCATTCACATTATACATGGTTAGTACTAATTCCGTATCTATATAAATGTTTTTGGTTCTTTTATTTATGCTTATGTGTTAAAAGCATAACTCTAGAAAGCAATAAGGATCTGTATGCAAAATAATACCCTGGAGCACGATATTCGGTTTTGTTTCTAAATATAAAAAAATAATTGATTCAAGAAATTGAATTAAAAAATTAAAATGAAAGATATTTTCCTAAAAATTTGGTGCACATTACATATAGGAGCACATTATACATAGGAAAATATGGTATACCATTTCTGTCTATAGTGATTAGATAAAGTTCAATCATGGACTGTCCTGGCTTCACACAAATGTGGGACCATATCCAGTGTGTTTTCTTCCTGTCAAGAGTTCTGATCCCTCTCTCAGTAACAAAGTGGAAGAAGGAATTCCCACACACACATACATACACCATAATAAAATACAATAAATTGATTTTTAAATAGAAATATGTTATCTATATTAAATGTCTGAAGGAAACTTTTACTAAGATTCACTTGGTCCCTATGTTTAATATTATAGGAAAGTCAAAAATAATGATATTATTAAATTAATATTTATTACTGTCATATAAATAGGTAACTATACCACCAAAAGGCAAGAGAATAATTGTTCCTTTACTGATGCCATAGAAATTACATGTATTTTGAAATTTACAGGATTTACAGTTAGTAATATTTGTTAGTCTTATAAAAATGGCCATTTCAAAACCATGCCACCAGTAAAATGTCTATAGCAATTCTTTAAGAAATAAAGTGGTTTGTGTAAATGTACATTTATGTGTATATCAAGTAGTGTGTTTATGACATTATGAAAAATTTTTTGCCTTCTTCTTTTATCTTGTTTTTAACAGAGGAAATGCTTTGAAGTCAGCTCTAAAACAATCTGCTTTTTCTTGCTAATGACATATTTAAATATATTTTGAAAAATAAAATTTTTTTTAGGAAATTAGAGAGCAGAATAATTTAGAAATAATAGGCTTCAAAATCTTTTAATTCATTGCTGTGCTTTTTTATTTTTGTGTCAACACAAAGGAAAGTCCACTCATGAGCAACTGACTGTAAACAAGAAAAGTTGGGGCTTTAGATCTGGCCACAACTGGTTGTAATCCGTGCACCTGTGAGTTTAGTCTGTGTTATCACAGAAAACTTTCTGAATTTCAGGGTTTTTCTTTTTAACCCAAATACACAGATATTGTCTATTTTAAAATGCTGAGGTTCCAGTCAATATGGTGGTATTGCTAAACTTGGTACTTGAATCCTCCCACAACCACATCAAAATTACAACTAAACTACAGAAAAACCATCATTCAGAACCACCTGAAATCTAGCTGAAAAGAAGTCCAATGACTCCAAAACCCATGTTTTTAACCATCCCCTTCTATTATCAGACAACTGTACTTGTGACACTTCCAATTATATTTGGTAATGCAGAGTGAAACAAGGTAAAAGACATATTAATTAAAGAACATTATAGATTATAGCTTAGAAGAAATCTAAAAGATCAATTATGTGGAAAATATTTTTCAATATTTAAATCACTAAATTTTATATATTCTTTTCTTTACCCCTCAAAGTGCTTACTTTTCTCCATTTTATTGTAAATTCAGAACATTGTCCTTCTTTTATGGCTTTTTACAACTAAAAAATTCAGAGTCTTTAACAATAACCTGGTTACATAGTCATATAGTAATAAATCACAATATGTATGGAGTAGCTGAGGTACAGGAAGTTAAATGTCTTTGCCCTAATATTTGCTGAGTTTTTAGTAGTAAAGCTAGAAATGTAACCAATAACTAATGATCACCTCTGAGGTCCCTTTCATTAGTAAGATGAGAAGCAGAAACAGGAATTATTACCTGTGGCAACATGACGTCCCATTCCAAATATGGCGTAAGTGATGACAGGAAACAAAGACCCATATAAACCGAACACTGGGTGCACAGATGAGAGAATAGCAAAGGCCAACCCTGTGAAGAAGACCAGCATAATTCAGACCATCTTATAACCCCCAAATATAGTCCATTAGAAACTAGAATGAATCTAGATTTATTTCATGACAAAATAAACCATAATTTAATTATTCCATTTGCTCCATGAGAGATAGCATCATGGTCCTAAATAACAGATAATTCACTCATTGGTTTATATTTCAATTATAAAAATCATTATTTTCGGAATGCTGTGTTTTTCCTTGATTACAGAGGCAAGGTCACTAAAACAAAACAAAGCAAAAACAATAACAAAAACCAGGGATGGATCCTAGCTGGTAGAAACAGATTTATGATACTATATAAGCCACACACTTTATCTTCACACTCACTGCCTACCTATTTTGTTGCAAATCTTAATACATATTATATAAATGGCCATTTAATGTGCAAATCAGCAAAGAAAATCAGAAGTGTTGAATGAAGCCTGGAAGTACAGTGGAGAATGGGTCATGGGATGAGGGGAAACGGAGAAAAAGGGAAAAGCCAGCAGAGTGTTACTAACTCCTTGGTATATTTTTGTGGGGGCTGGGCAAGGACACTTTAGACCTATTTAGTAATATTAGGTTGCTATTGTTCCTGGAGAAAAGTACTAGCAGGAAGACAATGATTCAGGGAGTCAAGTTAGAACTTGGTAGCTAATGCTAGGGTTTCACATCCTCAAGCCTGAGACCATGCAGAAGAATATTTCCAGACAAGCCTTTAATTTTTACAATGTAGTACGTATGCTTCGGGAGTTTCCACTTATTGTTCCACATGTCACTAAGCTGCCCTCAAGAGTGCAATGAAGCTGAGCTTCCACGCATGCGTTTTTGTGCTAATAATGCCACACATTCTACATAATTATAAGGAACATTCATCTTTTCTGTGCAGCCCACAATGCTGTGGCAGCATAGAATTTTCATGATTAAGGAACAAAATTCTAGGTGATCCCTGGGAATTATAAGATAAAACATTCTCGTATTGCTTCTGGGTGGATTGAGTTCTTACATGACAAGTCATGCATTGTAAGTCTCCACCCTGTTGCAGTGCTTGGGTTTTCAAGTTAGGAACAAAGGAACTATTTCTCCCAAAGTCGTCATCCAGGCTAAAATGTAAAATAAATACTCTACAAACAAGAGTCTTATACTACTTAGCTTGCCAACTATATTGATGACATGTTGTAAGTCAATGGCATTCTCTAGAATGTTTGCTCATCTTTAAAACACATTCTGTAGTGAGATCTTATAAGACGTCAGTTAAAGAGCATTGTGGTAGATGCTGACTATAACAGCCATTGTCTAATATTAGAAATGAGAGAGCCCACGTTTTTGGTATTTTAAAAAAATACAAATGTTTTCTAAAAACTCTATGAACGTGGTTAAAAATAATCTAAATCGTCTCTTTTTTCTTTGAAATGAACACATCTACATTTATATTTATTTACTTTGGGGAAGGGCAATCACCCCTTTATCAGTCTGAAACAGTCTATGGACTCCTTCCCAAGAGGAAAGGGAACCCTAGTGCATTGTTGGTGGGATTGCAGACTGGTGCAGCCACTGTGGAAAACAGTATGGAATTTCCTCAGAAAACTGAAAATGGAACTGCCTTTTGACCCAGAAATTCTGCTGCTAGGATTATAACCTAAGAATCCTGAAACACCAATCCAAAAGAACCTATGCATCCCAATGTTCATAGCAGCACAATTTACAATAGCCAAGTGCTGGAAGCAACCTAAGTGCCCATCAGTAAATGAATGGATCAAAAAACTATGGTACATTTACACAATGGAATTCTATGCAGCAGAAAGAGGGAGTTCCTACCCTTTGCAACAGCATGGATGGAACTGGAGAGCATTATGCTGAGTCAAATAAACCAGGTGGTGAAAGACAAATACCATATGATCTCACCTAATCAACAAAACAAACAAGCAAAATAGAACCAAAGACACTGAAATTAAGAACAAACTGACAGTAATCAGAGGGGAGAGGGGAGGGAATGATAGAGGGGAAAGGGTGAAGGATTTCTATTCAGAAACTATTATAGAAACTATTATAAAGGACACATGGACAAACACAAGGGGGGCTGGGAACAGGGGAGGATGGTGGGGAGGGATGGGGGAAAAGGCAGAAAACTGTACTTGAACAACAATACAATTCAAAAGTATTTAATAATAAAAAAACAACAAAGATCAGTAGAGTAAAAACAGGTATTTGTTTCTAGTTTTGTGCTATGATGCAAAAGCAAAAACTATCTCTTCTTTCTTCTGATTTTTGTAAAGAAATGGAGCCTGTAACGTCTGCCAGTATTGTATTCACACAAACATAAAGCCATAATATCTACATGCCTTCCTTACTCTACCTTGTACTGTAGTTATTTTCCCTGTAACTTCACCTTTCAGTCTGAAACCTGCATGGGTGAAAGCTAAATGCAAAAGTAATTTGAAGAGAGGATATTTGATCCTTTCTAAAGAAATGTCTCCAATTATTAATAATATTGGTATTATGAATATGTCTAGTTATTTTGGCAGTACAGATTGTAAAGTATAAAATATTAAGAGTGTTGACTTTGGAATCAAGTCCTGACTCCATCACTTATTAGGTATGAGGTCCAGGAAAAATTACTTACTTTCCGAAGCCTCCATTTTCTTATGTGGAAAATGGAGAAGAGACTGCTGTCTTAGGATTGTGTTAGGATAGGGGAATATAACGTATATAAGGAGTTTAGCACAATGCTCCTTATAATGTTGCGACATTGCACTTTTTAAAAGAAGATTTTATTTATTTATTTTTAGAGAGGAGAAGGGAGGGAGAGGGAAAGGGAGAGAAGCGTCACTGCATGGTTGCCTCTCAAGCGCCCCCTATGGGCCTGCAACCCAGTCATGTGCCCTGACTGGAAATTGAACCAGTGACCCTTTGGTTCACAGGCCAGTACTCAATCCACTGAGTGACACCAGACAGGGCATATTTCACTTTTTATACCTCCATAGTAGGTAAGCATGAGAAAGTTTGAGAAAGTTGTTTTTAAGAGGATAGGGGTACTTTTAGAAGAATGAGTCTTTTCATATACCAACACAAAATTTTAAGGTCTTTCTAGTGATGTAGCCTTGTCCAGTCATGGGTAGACTTACTTTCAAAAGGAACAGTAGCAAGATCTATGACTTTATAAGACACAATGGGTGACCTTTGTGCTTCTCGTCAGTTGGGATCTGCCCAGTTTTTCTTCATAACTAATGTAATATATAAATCATAAAATAAAATTCCTCAAAATCTATACTCAGATAGAAGCCATACAATTAACTAGTAATGACTTACATATAAATGATATCACTAATGACATATCACAGGTAATTTTATTATATTCTCAAACTTCTTCATTAACCTGATATTTTACAAAGGTGAAAAAATTTAGTTTTAAATATATATTAGTCTTTTATTTCACATTAAGTTAAAGCAAAATAAGTTTAAAAAATATACTCAGACTATCTGGTGACAAAGCCCTAGTAAATTCATCACCTAAGTTTCAAAGTAGCAGTGTCTCATTTGAATAAAATTAAATAAAAACAAGGCTGCAAAAGCCCTAACCTGTTATTTATTCTGCTTTTTAATGAAAGATCACTGTGTTTTGCTGTTAACAAAATAGTCATTAAAATGTAATACAAGACTATTTAAAAATATTTAAACCCACAAAATGGTAGTATTATGGATCTTAATGTAAAGCCACTAGTGCAGATGTTTCTAATCTGCATTAAAAGCACAAATAAACAAACAAGTTTGTTTCAGCTACAGAACAAATCAGTTAAAAGAGTGCATATAGTTTAATGGTATGAATAATAGTTCAAGACAGGGAGGTAGTGAAACTGCAAGGAAATACAAATCTACAAAGTCTGTGCTAAGGAAAGCGTTCCAAATTCTCAAGGCTGAGAAGTCAGTTGCTTTCCTTGCTACAGTTAGAAAATGATTAATTGAATCAGTCAAAAAATACAATGAGTATACTTTTAAGGAAAACACACACACATACACACACACTCATACATGTGGACACTAGTTAACTAAAAGTTTTTACCAAGAGAAACACCTATCTAAACCCAGCATATCATTTAGAATCTGCCTTAGGAAAATTAAAATGAGACTTCTCACCAGTTTAAATTTCTTATTGAGAAATACAGTGTACGATGTGATTCAAAATTAAATCAGCATGCACAATAAACATAAGCTCTAAGGACATACAGGATTCTCTATATATTTATACATATATTCAGTATAAAAGAGTCAATGTGTTTATTTCCCCAAAATTAATTCAATATTAATTTCATTAGCTAAATTGTAGATCTGAGGTCACAATACTCTCCCACTAAAGCAAAGTGACATCTGTTCTGCATAAAGCAGGAAAAACGAGTACAGTACATTACCTTGTGTTACCTGTTGAACTGCCAACATTATCCCAGACACAGTGTCTGGGGGCAAGTCTTCTTTCAGATTGTAATGTAGTGCCCATTCCAAAACAGGTAGCCTCCTTCTGCCCCACTGTTCCAAGTCTTCACAATGGGGGTTCTTCATCCTGCTCCAGAGCACACTCTTCTTTTTCCTCTTTGTCCCTGTCATTTTTCAGAACCTTTCTTGTACGAAACAAAAGTTTTCCTCCTTTCAGTGTGAGGCTCCAATTCGTCTGTGGTTTATAACGTCAACGCTATGCAAAAAACAAATCAATAAAAAAAAGAGAGATAAAGATTAACAGACGAACTTAAATATATGCAGCTGGGCTGTACGTATTATTGCAGTGCAGCTAATCATTCCAGATAAAAATACAGATTAAAACCTTGAATTCTTACCTGAATGATATGGGGAAATGGTTCCTGTTACTATTTTTCCGATCTTGGAAAAGGAATGGGTTCAATGTTAAGTTGGTCTACAGCTCTCTCACCAGTAAATTCCCTTATATTCACTGTAGTCTTAAATTTTGGCTCCAATCCCAAAGGCCAATGTAGCTCTGGGTGTGTGTTGGAAGTGGGCTGGGCCATGCTAATGAAAACAGGAAGCATTCAGCTAGTTAAGACTCTTCCTATAAGCTATGCAAAAACATAAAACTGCCAGAATGGTCTGGCCTGTGGGGGGCGGGAGGCGGGGAGGGTGGGAATCAGAGAATCTGTACTTTACCAATTTAGGAAGTATACATTTTCAGCTCTACAAAATTCAGCAAAATAAGAGGGCATTGCTAAATGCCCTATCTTTTTCAGTCCCTGGTAGGTGAGATTTTCATTCACAAAAACAATAGTTATTTGTATTATATACTTCCTTTCAAAAGTTTACATATATACTTATATATATATATAATATGTATATATACTGAGTATATTTTACTCCCATAATCAAAATTCACAATACATTTTTTCAAAACATATCTAGGTAATAAATTCAAATCTATGCTGGCAAAGTAAGAATAATTGAAAGCTTGACTGAAATCACAATTGCAGTTCCACTGAGGAAAAAAGAAAACTTTGCACCTTGCTTGGACTCTCTGTTTCAGTAGATAATTACATTCACCATATGCTACATACTGACTCTTCAGCATATCTCTATACTACTTTCCTTAGTTCCCCGGTCTCTTGCCTGGATCAAACACAGACTCAATACTTACCTTTTCCATGAAACATTCTCTGGTTTCCCCTCAGCTCTGTTCTTGCTGTACACCCAACATCCAGGTAACCCTTATGCTGTTCTTGGGTGTACAGCTATAGTCATTCTCATTGTCTATTGGTTTTCTTTCTTGAAATCTATTTCATGTGATTTGATCCAGTCAGGCTAATGAGATTGTAAATTCCTTGTGAGTAGGGATTATTCACATAACTTGCTTTGCCACCTTCCTAGGATCTAATGAAAGTTCTGCAGACGTAGGATCCAGTCATTAGGTATTAATATGTGAATTGAATGCCTGCACTCCTGAAATTACCCAAGAATGATGTAGTCTATCTCAGCCTGGTTCCAGGCTATGCTGGTAGCCTGAAAATCAGTGGAGACAGAAAAATAGTTAGAGATAACAATGGGTAAAATAAGGAGAGATTTTATTTTACTTGCTGGCCTTCTCCCCATTCCCTCACAATATATGGAAAGGTCCATCTCTTTCCAACACAATTACTTTTCTTACAGAATCTGTATAATGGAAAGGGGAAAAACTAGACAGTGAATGCAAGAGACAGGGGGAATGGAAACAGAAAACCTCATGGCCTGGGGTTTTAGAGAGTTTCAGAGGGTTAGCATGTAAGAGCCTGTGGAACAATTATGAAGTATGAGGTAATTGAGCCAGGCTCAAATAAGGAAAGAGTCTTCTAAGAAACAATATTCAGGTTATACATTGGATCACCTTTAATCGTTTTTGAGAGATCCTAGTTAAGACTGAAATTCTCCTCACGTTACTTTTTTATTAAATGTATTTAGTTAACATTGGTTAATAATATCATGTAAGTTCCAAGTGTACATTTCTATGATACACAATCTGGATATTGATGGTGTGCCCTCCACCCAAAGTCAAATTATCTTCTGTCACCATGAATTTGACCCCCTTCACCCATTACTACCTTCTCACATTACTTTTGACTGTGGCATTATGTTTCTTTGAACATGATCTGTATGGGGACTGGGACACCTAAAATACTGATTTATAGCCAGGTTACATTTGGAAATACAGACTTATAAATCTTGGAGGACATCAACTCCAAATCCGTGCTTACTCAGTCCATGGTCAATCACCATGGCTTTGTGTACTTTCTGTCAGGGATCAGTAGGGCAAAATGTGGACCATGTGCACTTGGACAAAAATTCAGAAGCCATTTATTTGTCCTAATATTTTCTATTCATTTTTTCTGATTTTTATATAATCAATTTACTACTATAAAACAGAAACTTTTAGAAAGTATAGAAAAGTGTTAAAAAAGAAAAATATTTTCTATAACCACATTGTTGATTAAAATTTAGGTATAGGTGGGCTGGGATAGGAGTAAAGGACAGAAAACTGTACTTGAACAAGGATTAAAATAAAATTTTAAAAAATGTAGGTATAGTTTACACTCTAGTTTTTCTCATCTATGACATGTTTTTCTTCATATAGCTAAGATATTGCTGTATGCATAACTTTGGATTTTACTGAGCATTATATCATAAGCCTTTGCCACATCATGAAAAATTCTTAGAGAACACCATTCTTTTAAATGACTGCACTATATTTCTTCATAAAGATGTACCATAGTTTGTACACCCATTTTCTGAGGAGTAAATACTTTGGTTCTTGCAGGGTTTTATTTTGTTTCGTTTCACAGATAATACTGGGATTCACATCTTTGGGCATAAATCTGTAACCAGATTTCTGACTATTTCCTTAGAAGTGGAATCATTAGGAGATAACTAACCAGCAAACACTCATCACTAATGATGCCATTTTCATTAGTGTGTCTTGTTCCAGTGCTCCAATGAGGCACTTTGGGGCTAACACCTTAGACCAGCTCAGATGAATAATAAACTCATCCTGTAAGTAGTCTCATTAGGACATTCTTCAACCTGTCACGTGTTGGCTTCACAACACTTGATGAGATCTATTTTCTGGATTAATTAGAGCACTTGGGCTTACAATTTTCTGGGACCTTGAAGTCATGGAACATAATTTTCATTTGAGCTAGTTTTTACTTGTTGGTTCACATTTCATATCTGACAACGTAATTCCAATGTGGGCTACCAGTAATGTCTTGTTACCATCAGGCACACAACAACATTCGAAAGCTCTCAACGCTCAGGCTTATTTCTTTTAGGAAGTCAAAATGAATGACTAAGTATAATTCAAGCAGTGGACTCCAGTAGAAAAAGAAACAGTGAATAATTACAAGTTTATAATTTATTGAAGATATAGACAAACAATTTTAGTTTATAGAAAATTCAAAATGTTAAGAGGCTTTTTAAGCCTTTCATGAAGCATTTCTTTCACTTTAAGAAGTAACATACAGGGAATACAACCAAAGTTCTCTTTCTCCCCATTCATTAACAGCATAACTCAAATTTGCCCCAGAAGTTGCAAGATGTACATTACACATAGATTTCAATGATATTTTGTACCATATTCACTATATTATTGGCAGTAAAATATACACACACTAGAGCTGATAAATCAAACCCCAGGGCACATTACTGTTTATTCATGTCAATAGGAGAACAACAGCAACAACAGCAACAACAACAACAACAACAACAACAACAAATATTTAAAGTATTGCACTATGGAGCCATAAAGTAAACAACATATTGGCAAGCAAAGCTGAAATTTCATGCCAACTTTTCAAGGTCTTTGAGGTGTGGATTTAGATAAGTGAAATAGCAAGGGAGAAAATACTGATAAATGTTATTTGTTAGTGACTAAAATTCTTTCATTAATTTCAAGATGACTTGAATAATGGGTATATTTCAACAATTTTAAGATTTTATTTAGTTTTAGATAGAGGGGAAGGGAGGGAGAAAGAAAGGGAGAGAAACATAGATGTGAGAGAGAAACATCACTTGGTTGCCTCACACATGTCCAAACCAGGGCCCAGACCCACAACCCAGGCATGCATGCACCCTGGCCAGGAATCGAACCAGTGACCCTTCACTATGCAGTATGAGCCCAACCAACTGAGCCACAATGGTCAGGGAAACAATTTTAAACTGAGTTTTTAATATTCCTTAGTGAATTAAAAGCATAAAGGAAAAACATGATATATGTCTCACTTCCCATCATTATTCAATTAGAATAGAATGTTTTCTTCTTCTCCTAGGTGGACAGTCTTATCCAGTTTATAATTTTTTGCAAACTGGTCTACTTACTCAAACTCCACATTTTATAATAACCCAAACCTATTTCCATCTCCCTTTTTTGAACCCCAAATTCTTATTTGCACTACAGCATTATTTATCCTCAAAAATTGGTCATGTACCCCTGTTTAGTTTGGAGACCCACATGCCAACTCCATTCTTCTTATTCAAACTCAAAGGTTTGCTGTGTCCTTAAGTGATCCTGAAATTTCTAAACTCTTGACTTTATCTTCTGGTATTTATCTTCTATGTTTTTAATTTGGTCAATATAAAGTCACCCATATCCTGCGCCAATATGGATGAATCAGTTCTTCAGCTGAATTACTGAAATGAGGAGCTGAGGATTCTGGAGAAGTGCGCACATGCTCACTCAGCAACTTTGTATAGATCTGTTAGTGATATCTGCCATGGGCACAGGTGGGAGTGTACACATACCAGTACTGCTCTAGAAATATTTAATCTAAGGCAATTATGGAAGTTAGCAGAAATATTTTCTCATATTTGCATCTATAAATAACTTTTAACAAATTGTGGGTCTCATTCCAATTTATAAAAACAGGGTTTTATTGTACCTAGAAACTTGAAACTAAAGAGAGAAATGATGAATATGCTTAGTAGCACACAGTATTTATGCCTATCAATTTTTTCCATTGTCTATAGAAAAGGAATTGCTTTTGGTAGGCAGTCTACTAACCTGTAACAAAAGAAAATGTTCACCTAATTAAATAAATTTTCCAACAGTCTTCAATACAATGAACATTCTTATTTGAAGTCTCTTTTTCAAAAGTTATACAAGATGATCAGACTGTTTTCTAATACATCTCCATGGGTTACCTGACCAAGGAAGTCCCAAGAATGAGGGAGCATTATATTTTAGAAGACAACATAATTAGGATTGTAAAACCAAGGACAAAACATTTAAGAGTTCAAGGTCTCACCTGTCTGCTGGAACTGATTCCTGAGATTAAGAATAAGGCACATTGAGGACTTGCAGCCAAAATGGAGATGTAAGTGAATACACTTTGCTTCCTCACACAGACAGAAGGACAACAACAAATTTAAAAACAAAAAACAACCAGAACTACCAGAAAATCAAACTATATGGACGTCCGGCGACCAAGGAGTTAAAGAAGA